ACGATGGACTCGAATTTCACTCGAACATGCCCATTAGCGAGCTCACCAAGCGCGTCACTCGAGCCATCGAGGCAAGCGACGTTAGCTCAGCCCCTCCGATTGCGGAAACCATAGATGGGGTAATGCACGAAACTCAACCAACCCTTGCCAAGCCCAACGGGGCTCGGTGTAAGGTCCTAATGGCTAGAGGGGGGGTGAATAGCCTATTAAAAACTTCTACAACAACACTTAACAAACTGGTTAGACAATTATGAGGCGAAGCAAGTGTTGCGCTAGCCTACTAAAAATGCAAGCCACCTACCACAATTATAGTTTCTATCCACACAATGGTTATGTCACTACACTAAGTTAGTGTGCTCTCAAAGGCTAACTAAAGAGCCACAGTAACCAAACTAACAAGCTCTCACGACTAGCTACACTAAAGAGCTTGACAACTAGTTTGCAGTAATGTAAAGAGAGAGAGCAAGATGGTTATACCGCCGAGTCGAGGAATGAACCAATCAATCATAAGAATGAATACCAATGAAGACCAATCACCTTGGAATCAAATGATAACACAATGATTTTTTACCAAGGTTCACTTGCTTGCCGGCAAGCTAGTCCTCGTTGTGGCGATTCACTCACTTGGAGGTTCACACGCTAATTGGCATCACATGCCAAACCCTCAATAGGGTGCCACACAACCAACACAAGATGAGGATCACACAAGCCACAAGCAATTCACTAGAGTACCTTTTGGCTCTCCGTCGGGAAAAGGTCAAGAACCCCTCACAATCACCACAATCGGAGATGGAGACAATCACCAACCTCTGCTCGGCAATCCTCGCTGCTCCAAGCCATCTAGGTGGCGGCAACCACCAAGAGTAACAAGCAAAACCCACAGCGAAACATGAACACCAAGTGCCTCTAGATGCAAACACTCAAGCAATGCACTTGGATTCTCTCCCAATCTCACAAAGATGATGAATCAATGATGGAGATGAGTGGGAGGGCTTTGGCTAAGCTCACAAGGTTGCTATGTCAATGCAAATGGCCAAGAGAGTGAGCTTGAGCCGGCCATGGGGCTTAAATAGAAGCCTCCAAGAAATAGAGCCATTGTACCCCTTCATTGGGCACAACACAGGGTGACCGAATGCACCCTGCCAGCGTCTGGTCAACGGATGGGTGCCACGTCATCCCTCTCTTCAAATACTGAGCGCTCGATCCCAACGGTCAAGTGATGACCAGACATAGGACAGTGCCATGACCGGACACAGGACCCCAGCGTTCGGTCACTTCCAGTAAGGTTCTAGCTGTGACTGGACGCGTCAGTTTGATCATGACCGGACGCAGGACACCAGCGTCCAATCACTTCCAGTAAGCCTCCACTCGTGAAAAATCACGACCGAACGCGTCCGGTCATGGCCAACCGGACTAACCTAGCGTCCGGTCACTGAACATCTCCTCTATGTGCTGCCACGTCACTAGGACTGGATGCACCTCGCCAGCGTCCGATCATGAAGTGACCCAGCGTCCGGTCAAAGACCAACGCCAGTGTCTTTACTGCTTCCACTGACCGGATGCTCCGGTCCAGTTGAGACCAGAGTCCGGTGCACTCTGTGAAACCCTATCTTTTCTGTACAGGGCACCGGTGACACCGTCGGACTGTCCGCACTCTACGGGCGGACACTCCACCGATGAAGTTTCTAACCCTTGCTCAAATGTGCCAACCACCAAGTGTATCACCTTGTGCACATGTGTTAGCATATTTTCACAAATGTTTTCATTGGTGTTAGCACTCCACTAGATCCTAAATGCATATGCAATGAGTTAGAGCATCTAGTGGCACTTTGATAACTACATTTCGATATGAGTTTCACCCCTCTTAATAGTATGGCTATCAATCCTAAATGTGATCACACTCACTAAGTGTCTTGATCACCAAAACAAAAATGGCTCCTACCACTTATACCTTTGCCTTGAGCCTTTTGTTTTTCTCTTTCTTCTTTTCAAGTCCAAGCACTTGATCATCACCATGACATCACCATCATCATGATCTTCACCATTTCTTCATCACTTGGAGTAGTGCTATCTATCTCATAATCACTTTGATAAACTAGGTTAGCACTTAGGGTTTCATCAATTCTCCAAAACCAAACTAGAGCTTTCACTCGGGGCCTCGGGACGCCGACTCCGTCTCGCTCGATCCCTCAGCTGTCCGTTAGCTACGCCTGACACCTGGATCCATGACTCCGACTCACCCGATCGCTGGATCCGTGACTCCATCTCGCCCGTCCCCTCAAACTGCCTCGGTTGCATCTGACGCCTAGATCCGCGAGTCCATCTCGCCCGATCCCTCAAATGCCTTGGCTGCGCCCGACGCCTGGATCCACGAGTCCGTCTCGCCCGATCCCTCAAACTGCCTCAGCTGCGCTCGACGCTTGGATCCGTGAGCCTGTCTTGCCCGATCCCTCAACTGCCTCGGCTGCGCCCGATGCCTAGATCCACAAGTCCGTCTCGCCCGATCCCTCAACTGCCTTGGCTGCGCCCGATGCCTGGATCCACGAGTCCATCTCACCCAATCCCTCAACTGCCTTAGCCGCGCTGATGTTCGGATCCATGACTCTCGCCTTTGATCCCTCAAGCGCTCGCATTGCGCTTCGACGCTGGATTCGTGAGTCTCTCGCCGATCCTCAACTACCTCGGCTGCGCCCGATGCCTAGATCCGCGAGTCCATCTCGCCCGATCCCTCAACTGTCTCGGTTGCGCCCGATGCCTGGATCCGTGAGTCCGTCTTGCCTGATCCCTCAATCGCTTTGGCTACGCTGCGCGACGCTCGATCCGCGAAGTTCGTCTCGCCGATCCTCAATCGCCTCATTTGCGCTTGACGCTCGGATCCGCAACTCTGACTTGCACGATCCCTCAAACTGCCTCGGCTATGCCCGACGCCTAGATCCACGAGTCCATCTCGCCTGATCCCTCAAACTACCTCGGCTACGCCCGATGCCTGGATCCATGAGTCCGTCTTGCCCGATCCCTCAACTGCCTCGGCTGCGCTCGACGCCTGGATCTATGAGTCATTCTCGCTCGATCCCTCAAACTGCCTCGGCTGCGCCCGACGCCTAGATCTGCGAGTCCATCTCGCCCGATCCCTTCGGCACACCCGATGCCGTGGTTGGCAACTTTGACTCGCCTGATCCACTGGATCCGTGACTCCGACACGCATACGCCGGTAAAACAAAAAAACCCAGGCGATTCTACTCAAAATCACCCGGGGGCTCGGGGGCCACACCCGCGGGTGTGCTCGCGCGCACCCATCGTCAAAACAAAAAATTCCCCCACTGACAAGACGAAATACCCCCCGCGACTCTACTCGAATGACCCGGGGCTCGGGACTACACCCAGGAAGGTGCTTCGCTGCGCACACCGCCGTTAAATGAAAAAATCCTCGGACGATTCTACCCGAATCGCCCGGGGGCTCTGGGGCTCCTATCGGGTTCATAAACCCGGGGTCCCTAATGGACCTGCTTCCTAGCAGACGAAGTTGCGAACGACGCACAACTCTTAGGCCGGCCCAAAAACCTAACGACAGGCTAGAAGGGCGGACTCCAACCCGCCTCTCCGACCGGAAGGCCTGGCCAAGGAGGAACAACGCTCGCTTCCGACTTCAGCCCGCCTCTCTGACCGGATGGCCTGGCCAAAAGAGGAACTGATCTCGCTTCTGACTCTGGCCCGCCTCTCCGACTGGAAGGCCTAACCAACGCCCGCCTCCGCTCTCCGACTCCGACCCGCTTCTCCGACCAGGGATACACCAAACCCCTGCTCAAAGCTCTTCTCCGACCGGCGCAGTCAGAGCCGACTGGGACCAACCGACCGGGGACGCCCGCTCGGTAAGGACCCGGGAAACGAACAGAGCAAATAAGGTAGGACACTCAAGACAACTGCAATACCAAAGACCATACCCTGCATGACCGCAGGACAGTACCAACGAGACATATCAGAAGGGTGCTCTGCAACCTTCTAGACATGTCATAACCCAAACAGTGTAGAGGGTGCCATAAATTCCTGTACCAGGCAAACACGATAAGGCCCCCCACATGCATCTGGGCATCCACAGTGTTATGGGCGCCGGCATTTACCATTCCTGGTGAGACACGGTAAAATCTCCCACATGCGTTTGACATCAACAGTATTGTGGGCGCCTACAATCATCTTGTACCCGACGGCGTGGGCAACAAGACTTAGTACATACGCACTCTTCCTCTCTCTCACTTGTAAGGCCGTCCCCTTCATCTATAAAAGGGGATGCGCTCTCTCCCAACAAGGACGATCGATTCGAACAACAGACGGATCACTCCGATTCACTCCCTGCTAGCTTTAGATACTCAGAAGCTACACAAAGCACACGCTCGAACACTCAGTGCACGAGGAGCTCCCATCACTCTTGGCCCTTCGGACCAGAGTCCTACCGAACCTCTTGCACCCCCCATCTTACTCCCTCTCGTTTGTAACCCCACAGCAAACTTCGAGCACCTAGGCTTAGGAATAAAGTAACCGACCAACTCAAACTGGACGTAGGGCACGTTGTTTGAACCAGTATAAACCCTGTGTCATTGAGTGCTAGGGCACATCCGATCACAACGTACGGTAAAACTATAAATATTTATGTGTTGGTCACTTTCTGCACCGACACTTGGTCTAAACATGGTAGCTGCTTGCCATGTGATTATGCTTGATCCTTGGTGGAATCCTTATGCTGAGGACCAGGCGGTTGACAGAGCACAAATGATTGGTCAGTGTACCCGTCCTGTTACTATTGAAGGGTTCACAGTTAAAGACACGGTGGAAGAGAAGACGGGAAGACCGCATTTTAGCTCTGCTACCTCGCTCTCCCCATTTCCGTCTCTCCCCTCTGCTCGATACAAACATAAACCCTAGGCTTGGCTTGTGCTACTCCCTCCAGAATCCGCCCAAATATGCGCTCTTCTTCCCCTAGTGGCGAGTGCCACATCGCGGTGGCAATGGATTCGATGGGGAAGACCACGGAGCCTCCCCAGCTGCCACTGCAAGCGACATCCGCGGCCCAGATCTCCGTGGTGCTCAGCAACGACGACCTCCTCCGTGAGATCCTCCTCCGCCTCGACTTCCCCACCTGCCTCGTCCGCCGGCTGCCGTCTCAAGCGCCTGGCTCAGCACGCCTCGACCCCGCATTCCTCCGCCGCCTCCACCCGCCCCGCCTCCTCGGGTTCTACCTCGACACCCATAATATGCATAAGCACAGTACATTCTTGGATTAGATATCCAATCCATGAGCTTGCTCTCTATTAAACTCCCAAATGGAGTGGAGTATGAGTACGACGCAAAGATTGCTCTGTCCCGAGCAGAAGGTTCTGGATTTTGTCTCGTTCATGTCAGCTGGCGCTACACTATGGACCACAGTAGCACTGGCAACTGGGAGCTGATCGATACAATTTCTTTGCGTCAGGTGTTTGGGTCCAATGCAGATCCTACTTGGTGTTCTCAGGGTGCTGATGTTCGAGTGGCTGTGGTTGGGGATAATGCTGATTTGTGTTCTTCAGCATACAGAAGAAAGGCTTCAATCTTGGTCTAAACATGGTAGCTGCTTGCCATGTGATTATGCTTGATCCTTGGTGGAATCCTGATGCCGAGGACCAGGCAGTTGACAGAACACACAGGATTGGTCAGTGTACCCGTCCTGTTACTGTTGAACGGTTCACAGTTAAAGACACGGTGGAAGAGAAGACGGGAAGACCGCATTTTAGCTCTGCTACCTCGCTCTTCCCATTTCCGTCTCTTCCCTCCGCTCGATCCAAACATAAACCCTAGGCTTGGCTTGTGCTACTCCCTCCAGAATCCGCCCAAATCTAGGCTCTTCTTCCCCTAGTGGCGAGTGACACATCGCGGTGGCAATGGATTCGACGGGGAAGACCACGGAGCCTCCCCAGCTGCCGCCACAAGCGGCATCCGCGGCCCAGATCTCCGTGGTGCTCGGCAACGACGACCTCCTCCGCGAGATCCTCCTCCGCCTCGACTTCCCCACCTGCCTCGTCCGCGCCGCCGCCGTCTCCAAGCGCTGGCTCAGGCACGCCTCTGACCCCGCATTCCTCCGCCGCCTCCACCCGCCCCGCCTCCTCGGGTTCTACCTCGACACCCATAATATGCATAAGCACAGTACATTCTTGGATTAGATATCCAATCCATGAGCTTGCTCTCTATTAAACTCCCAAATGGAGTGGAGTATGAGTATGACGCAAAGATTGCTCTGTCCCGAGCAGAAGGTTCTGGATTTTGTCTCGTTCATGTCAGCTGGCGCTACACTATGGACCACAGTAGCACTGGCAGCTGGGAGCTGATCGATGCAATTTCTTTGCGTCAGGTGTTTGGGTCCAATGCAGATCCTACTTGGTGTTCTCAGGGTGCTGATGTTCGAGTGGCTGTGGTTGGGGATAATGCTGATTTTGTGTTCTTCAGCATACAGAAGAAAGTCTTCTACTTGCATATTTCGAGCAGGACAGTGAAGAAAGTGTATGAGCTAGCACAACGTGAATCCCAGTCTTCTACTTGCATATTACTTGTCTCCATCTAAATAAGATATTATTGACAGTTGTCAAATGTGTTAAGAAGTTTAAATCATGATACTCACATTTTCCTCTGAACCCAGTCTTTTGTAATCATAGATACTACACGGGGGCTAGATAATAACACCACTTTCTCCATTGGTCTTACAGCTGGTATAATTGATAATCATTTGTTTGTCAAGCTGATGTCCCCCCTATTTTACCATAATTTACTATTTCCATTTCTATACGTTAGCGAAACATCTTTTCTCCCCATTTTGTTGGGGGTTAAATGGTTAATAATCATAGACACTACACGGGGGCTAGATAATAACACCACTTTCTCCATTGGTCTTACAGCTGGTATAATTGATAATCATTTGTATGTCAAGCTGACGCCCCCTCTATTTTACCATAATTTACTATTTCCATTTCTATATGTTAGGGAAACATTTTTTCTCCCCATGTTGTTGGGGGTTAAAAATTTAGAAGTCTGATTCACCACTTCCTATTTTCCCCTGTTTTTTACCGTTGAAATAGTGCCTGCAAACAAATTACTTGGCTCCACCATCCACAACTTCCCTCTGCTTTGTATTGCCATCATGAGAGGATTGGGAGTTTGAAAGGACGCAAGCTATAAATGGAGACCATGCAGCTGGTGTATTTTTTCCATGTATGCACAAACAGCATGACTAATAAAGTCTTTTTTCTTGTTATCTTGATTTTGATGTTCTTTAATCTGCGTGCTTAGAGCTAAAATGCCTAACAAAAAGAAATAGAGGGAGTAGTATTTTCAAAGTTAGAGCATAAATCAAAGATTTCTGAGAAGTTTAGCCTAATGTCATCTTTGCAATAGCATGCATCACATTATCATAAAACAAATGAAAAGCCCAATTCCTCATCTACCGGCCCCTTTTACCATTCATCACATAACAACCTAAATTGAATGCGGAACTTCGACTGATTATTGGCATTTCACAAAATTAGTTAGTACTGCACTAATGATTTAGATTACTTCCTGGGAAGCGAACTGATTTTACATCATGGTTGTCAGTTGAGGTATCTTTATGTAAAGATACATTAGCTTTTCCAGGACATTTCTAACTCCACTCTAGAAACAGAGTTCACCCTTAATTTTTGTTCAGGACTGTTCACATGTCCACTTGGAACTGGAAAAGAATGCAAGTGATCATTACTTACTCCTTTTTTCTTGTGTTTTTTATTTCCTTTTTTCCATGCTAAGTATGTGGGAAAAAGGGAAAACGACTCAAGGTCAAACCCCTGTGGCATTTCTCTACGGTTGCTTTTTATGTAGACAAACCTTACTGGCTTGCTATTATCAATTTGTCAAGTACTGCATGTAGCAGTGCTGTCTGATCTGTTCCTATTTATGTTTGTACTTAATCTTATCAGAGCAAGGTGCTAGATTGGGCCAAGAACAAGTCATCAAGGCACAGCCGCACAGGCTCATTCTGCAGCACTGGTACTGAGGGATTCTGGATTGGCGGTAGATCAGTAGATGGGTGGTTTGTACTAGTAGAATGAAGTGATTTCTGAAGTATCTGCTGGTTGCAGCTATGTTAGGTGTTAAGATCTTTTCGGTGCATTAGCTATTTCTATTTGGCAGGCCTCTAAGCCGCTTTGCTGTTAAATACTTAAATCTTTTCCCAGCATGTGACATGTTTGGAGGGATACTACTGATCCTTTAAACCTCCTGTGGACCCTTTTAACAAAGCACTGTGGTCACCCATGATTGGGAAAAAAATCTTGTTGGAGCATATCAGTGGGAATGTGGAATGAGGTCTTAATGTGTTTTACATGAATGTGTTTTTCATCTAGGAAAAAAGGACTATATGTTATATTGTCAACTTATCATATACTATGAATATTGATGAGGATTTATCATGTTAGGTTAATCATCCCAGTCATCTATAGAACTCTAGGTTAAGTCTAAACTGGTGGAAGTGTAAGTCGTTGCCAGTTTAGATTTGAGCTATAGTCAGTAAGTTCTGCTTAATGCATTTAAAGATATAGCTTAACCAGCGGTTGGAGCTCTCCAGCTGAATTTGTATTTGGCCATGATACCCGTAAGCGCACTATTCTGTAATGTACGTCATTTTTTGCCAAAACTTGTAATCTCCGATTTTGCTTTGTGGCCATAAAGTTTAAGCAGCCCAGTTTGTTCTGTAGCGTAGCATTGATGGTTCCTTTCGTTCTTGTTAGCTTGTCTATGGAACATAATGCCTCTGTATTGCAAATGTCGACATTTCAGTACTGCAAGCCCGAACAGTGAAAGAAGAGGTATTTTTTTTGGAATCATTCATCTCTGACTCTGAAACTGGCGCATTCTTTCTAAAGCTGGTGGATGCAAAGATGAGGTTACGAAAGCAAAACTGAGGACAAGAATCAGACTGGAATGGACGAATGATTATCTATATTAGATTTTTGCCACTGTCTTGGATTCAGAACTGACCATTTGGTTTGATTTCTAGCGGCAAATCTCCAAATAATGGGACGAATTGAGGGGGTGTCGATGCAAGGCGGTCGAGAGGACGCAAGAGGGAGCGCATCAATGGACTTATGGACGGCCACAGCCGAGCGAGGGAAGGGAGCACCGTGCATACCCAAATAAAATGGGTATGGCAACATTAATGAGCACTAGGCCTGGGCAAAAAATACCGAGAACCGAACCGAGAATACCAAAACCGATTTTTTTGGTACCCTATTCGGTTCCTAATTCCCAGGACCTTGGGAAACCGAATTTACCGAGCTATGTGAAATGTGCCGAGCTTGAGTGTTGTTATATGATTGATAGTACTATTGTAGACTATTATATTATGTATTTGTGGTACTCTACTATAGTCTTGTGGACTTTCATATGTATGTATTTGGCACTATGGGGCTGTTCGGCTGCTGGTTTCAACGGCTTTTCTGCACTTCAGTAGCCCCAATCTCTCTCACAGAATACTATTGAAACAGCCGTAAATAAGTCCTGCCGAACAGACCCTATTATTTTCTATGAAATCATGTCAAAATTAGCATTTGAACCTGCTATTACATGTCCATGTGATCAGCCGAATCCGAACCAAAAATACCAAAACCGAATTTCCTCGGTACCGATTTTTGGAAGGAACCGATCGTTACCTATTTTCCGAGGAACCGAATTCTGTGGGAACCGAAGTAATGAACCCATCGGTTCGGTAATACCGAATGCGCCTACCGAGCACATCAATGGTGGCCTTGATTGAGTGTTAGGGAAGGGGTGACCGACACTGATGCGGCCATGTGGGTGCCATCGTGCCAGTGCAACGTGCACCGATTCTCGGTTTGCTTGACCGGTGTGGAAGCCATGCGGGTGGAATTGGAATCGATTTCAAGGAGATTGGACAATGATCTAGGGATTCTGATTGCTTTGCATTGGTTGATGAGAACTAATCCAAATGAGTGAATCCTGATTCCAAGATTAAGAGATGGCGTATTGTTGTCGGTAAATTGTTAGAGGGATGGCCAATTGCTAGAGGTGGCCAATTGCTATAGGGATGACATTGTTGTCGGTAAATCTAGGTTCAACGACTAGATGATCATATTGCGGTTAAAAAACCATTTGTAGTTTATCAGAACTAGTATGTCCATGGACCTCGCTACCTTACTAGAAAAAAAATTGTATCTACCAATAGTATTTTAAATTCTATCTGTTGTATTTAATATTTCACGTTGGAAGTGTGAAACTAAGGTTGAAACATGAGATTGCTTACTTTCTGAAGGAGAGTGATCGTAAAGAATCAAAATGAGGTCCAAAAGGAGGTGAGGCTATAGGCAAATATAGTAATTTGGAACATTCCATTCATTTTTCTACCAGATGTTTTCTTAAAAGAAAAAGGATATGAGTGAATAAAAACATAGCAATTTTTTTGATAGACATGTGCGACAGTGTTCTAGCTGGACTCAAACTGTTGCATGTAAAAGAGCACTACTGCTCATTTAGGCATTGCAGGCAGACTTGTAAGCTCTTATTTATCAGAGCAAGCAGCAAAACTAGGACTAGGAGGTATTGTGGAAGTGGAACACATCAGTGCCTTATTTATAGAGCGACTTTATCATCACAAACATACTTATTTCCCCCTATTATTTATCATGTTTACACTTTATTTGGAATGAGTCACATTTGTGATTGCTCTCATACATTGACAAAAAGACGACAGCATGTGAATGAGCATGCCACTTGAAAGAGTTCTCGATGTCGATTACAAACCTCGTTGATATAATACTTCTTGATGATCTCAATCTCTGGATAGATTTTGTTCTCTGCACAGAAGTTAACCATTTCTTGGATGTCTTTTGTACCCCCAACAATACTACCAGACAAGGTCCGCCCATGTATAAAAAGAAGTTTAGGTTAAATCTAAATGATTTTGCTTTTGTTACCACATTTATATATTTTCACTACACGTGTCAGAACAGAGAACTACAACAATTGAGGCTTGCAGGGTGCATTTTGATCTCACCTGGAAAGCACACTATTGTCATCACACCACCAACTTTAAGGAGTGAGAGATATGGATCAAATGGATGGTCACCAGAAGCAGTCTGAACTATGAAGTGCAGGGAGTTTTTCAGGGACTGCAAAAGCAAGAGATCATATAGTCACGATCAGTTTTCAGGTTAAGCAGAACAAACATTATTTTGCAACGTATCTGTCGGGTTCATAAACCCAAGGTCCCTCGGGGACCGGCTTCTACGTAAAGGCTCGGCCCAAGCAGGCAGCACACAACTCCTGGGCCGGCCCAAGAGTCTAAAACAACAGGCCGGAAGAGCGGCCCAGTCACCGACCGGAAGGTCTGGCCGAAGAGGAACGGCTCCCGCTCGTCGACTACTTCGGCCCACCTCTCCGACCGGAGCACTCGCTTCGGACTCCAGCTGCCTCTGAACGGCCTCTCCGGTCAGAAGGCCTGGCCCAAGCGCTACTTACGACTTTGACCCCGCATCTCCGACCGGGGTGCGCAGAAACCCCGCTCACCGCTCTTCTCCG